GCATTCCTTAATTTCTAAAAAAATTACATCTCTCTTCAACATGATCCAAAAGAATCAGACACAGAATTAAACAATACAGAATTTGGTAACAGCTTACTTTTTCCTTGCATGGTTTGAGGAACAGTGAAGTAAGTTCACAGTACTTCTTTTTTTAAAAACTATATCCCTTTAATCTAATTAGTAACTACTAAGAATGACATTTCACAATTATTTTAGGGTCATGTACAATCAGAAAGATCTCACTGCACCAATTAATCTTCAACATGCAATCAATTTTTCTTTGCAACTCTAAACCTTACAGAAAAAATGAGCCTCTGGTAAAACAACCACCCTGAACGCTCTCTGATTCGAGGCACTGTTCAGGAGAAGGTGGCAACCTGGGAAGCACATGGTCATAACCTGTCAGTCTGCTCCAGTGATGGGAACGAGCAGTGTAAAGCGCCACCCTCTCCTGTTTTCTAAACTGGACTCCAGTTTTGTCTTGCAGATAGATCCCAAAATCAGCCTTTCTTGGTGTTTTCCACAGATCGTTCCTGATCCATGAAGCCACAGTCAGGAGCCTGCGGAACAGCGTTAATAATAAGATTTATGAACACTCCTGTTCCCTCCCATTACACCAGTGATCCATGAGACGTTATAAAGGCTGACAGCAGTTTCCTAATCCAAGAAGTTCAGGAAACACTACCCCAAATAATTTTAGTTCTTCCAACTGGAGCAAGTCATCTCTCTTCTTGTACCAGTGATTTGATCAGCAAAGGTGTACAAGCCGAAACAAAACTCCTTTGGGGTTCAAACAGTTCTTGGCAACTAGCTTTCTGGTATGCTACACAGCTTGTTAGTGCGGGGGTTGACAGAGGTTAGAAGAGTTTGGGAATTGGGGATAGCAGTAAATTAGGGTTTGGCAGTCAATAGATTTGAGTTTCCCACGAAACAGCGGTGTAAACAACCATTTTATATATGTAACCCATAAGTACTTCAAGCTCTGGTAATTACTACAGAAATAGAAAATCACAGAGACAGATGAGACAAGAATCTCTCCTCTTTCTTTCACTGTAATTCCCTCAGAGTGAGCACTTCTGCTGCAATGAACACTTGGTACATTAAGTCTTTTTAAAAGTACCTTTTTAAAAGAAACCCTAAAACAGAATAAGGAAAAGGTATATTCACCTATTTGGTTAGATTTTAAGCAAGCTAGAATTGCTATTCCAGACTATTTTTTTTTAATATATTAAGGATAAGGAAGAAAACCAAACAAATCATTGCAACATCAGGAACAGAAATGTTGTTTGAAGCTTGTCAGAAACCTCTAAAGATTATGTGAGAGAGAGAGAGAGAGCGCGCAAAGAGAAAGTTGAAATGAAAATGAGTTTTCATTATCCTTTTAATTAGTGCCAACTGTATCTATAAGTGTATTTTGATGTCAGAAGCTGGCAATATAAAACATCTCAACTGTGAAGGGCAAATTATGCAGGAGGACAAAGCTTTCACACATGCCCTGTAAAAATCTTGAATTTCTGCTTACCCCAGAAGCCAGGCTGTAAAACCAACTGCTCCAGACCCTTTGCAGCACAATGTTATGGACTACTTAAACAGGGTAACTTCAGTTCTTTCCCTTTGTTCCTTTAGTTATATCACTTACATAGACAGAAGCCGGAGCTGAAAGATTTTACAGCTAGCACGCACCTAGCACACCTTACAGTATCTGTCCAAGAGTTCCCATCTGGAGCATGAAGCTATTCCCTGAATGTTTCAGTATCCTCTAAAAGATTCAGCAAAGCTGTCAGAGTCATAGTAAGACACCATAAAGACAGTGCAGATGAAACACCGCTCCCAAGCTTGTTCTGGTCCCCAAAGTAAAGGGGACAACATCAATACTCTAAGCAATAACAACACTTGCAATTACCCAAGACACCTCTCTCAACTATTTTCCTACAGTGGAAGGCTGCACTGAAAGCACTACAAAAAGCATCAAACAAGAAAACCACAACCCCCACCACTACCACTCTTTGAAATATGAGAGACACAGCAAAACCTCTCAGCAAGTGAAGGTTATGTTTCACTGCATTTATTGTACAAGTTTAATTTTTAATCATACATCATCTTTATTTCTATAGCAGCAGCATCCAGACTGGCATCTCATTCTCACACAATTACTTTCCAGCTCTTTACACCACATAGATCTCATAGCATGTGGTGCTTATATGGACTGAAGTCAACAGAATACTTATTCCTGAAGCTCAGAGGTCAAGAGAAGCCCTGGGGAATATTTGCAGACAGCAGTAATAGTCCTACACAATTTCTGTCTGCAACAACTGTGAGCATAAAGAGTAGTAAAGAGAGGGGTTGACTCAACTGCTTTACTTGAAGCCTGAACCAAAAAGCAGGCCTGATCACGCTGTAATCAAGAGCAACCCCAGGGAATGGTCCAAACTTAAGGAGGTAAAGGCAACATAAATGGATACCCCCTTATTAACCAATTCTACTGCTCTAAACAAAAACCTGTTTGCAAGTTTGTTATTTTAGCTTCTCCGAGTACAGACTACAGAAACATTTTCAAGTTGGTCTTTAAACAAATTAAACGTTTTCAAGCTCAGGGACCTGCCTTTCCCCAGCAGTACTCCCAGAACCACAACAGCGCTCACCAGCATAAGGAGACAACTCATACACAGCCAACTCATACTGGCTGAACTACAGAGTGCTCAGAAGAAGTATCATGTCTAGGACTGCTACAAGTGCAGTAATTCAACCACTGTAAGACATGTCACCCCTGCCTTACCGTCACTCCCTCTTATTACATCCTTGCACAAAGCCCAATCTCCAACACCAACTTCCTGAAATTATTTTCCACAACCTCCATTAAACAGCTTGAGAAAGCTGCAAAGCACACATACTATAAACACACAAAGCTGTATTTGCAAAACCTTTAGTTTCACACAAATTTCAGGATGCTCTATAGCTATGTCCATTTCCTCATCTTTCTTTTATTTATATGAATTCATTACACCAGACTAGCACATTAAAGTCTGTTCAGAAATGACTGCACAAGTGTTTGGAGAGGTGAACATGTAGTCTCTATTACCAATGTAAGGTTCTCCACTTATATCTGGCAGAGAAACACTGAAGATATAATCTCATGCCTCATTACACCCTTGTTCTCAGAGAAAAGTAAAGGTACTGAGAAATCAGTGAAAGCGGTTTATATACTTATGAAAAAAGTTACCAGGCAGAAGTCCTCCACAGCAAGAAAGTATAACGAGAACAGCACATTTCCAGCACAGTCTCGGACACCCTGTATAAGCACAAATTTTAATCCTGGCCATAAACTTTCCTTCATACTGAAAAAAAGCCAGGTATGCTCAGGCTAGAGGACCTTCCTGGCCGAGGAGCAGCCAGCAGCAGCACCCTCGGCTCTTCCCACCCCCAGTCCCTCAGCCTCCCAACAGCTGAGGACTCGCAGGAAGGAAAACCAGCCCGAATCTAGGCCAGCACCCAGCACTTCAGGGGAACATCTGAAGGCTCTACACAGCTCCCAGTGCCGAGGACAAGGCAGGAAGACTCCCGCCAGCCACAC